AGCATGCCACTGTGCACGAAGCATGCCTGTCCTGACCTTCCTAAGTATTCTTTGTGAGTCATTTACAATCACGATGTGTGTATGTGTCGTGTTCTCTAACCAGCGGAAAGAGGCAGTGACCGTCTCCACTTCCATTCTAAAGTTGGATGTTGTGTTATCATATGCTAAGCTTTCTTGTCCCAATCGTCGACCATTAACTTTTGCTAAAAATCCTCATACACTTCTTTTGCCTCTTGACACTGAACCGTCTGTATAAATAATCAAAACCTCTGGGCGACCATTATTGCTGAATTTCCATCTCCGTGGCAACTGCTGGCCATTCTCTGCATTCCCGGCTCAACGTGATTATTAAGCGCTCAAGTCTGACTGTTCAGGTGGCACTTTTAGCCACTCTTGTCCTCGCCTAATGTTCTCAAGAATGCAAACCTGTCTGATTGTGTCTATTGCCTGAGCCATGCATGACTTTCCTCTTATCAGCCACTGACCCTTAACTGCGCCCAAAGCTTCGTGCAAAGGTTGATCTGTGTCTGCAGCTTCTTTGAGATTAGGCTTCGCCTGTAGCACCTTGTGCCTACCTGCAACAGTTGGCAAACCAAGGATGTTTAGCATTCACACCACTGGGGTGTCTCTTGTGCAACCCAGAGTGACCCGCATATCTGCGTTCTGTATGCGCTCTAGTTTGTCCATCTCACTCTTTGAGACGGTTAGCAGTCCCAGGCCACAATCAACCACTAAAAGGATCAGGTACTGATTTAGTGTGAAAACCATTCTTTGCTCAATGTCAATTACAGCCATAGTCTTAAGTGCATTGAGTCCTTTTTTGGCATCTTGTCACATTCTCAACATGGTCCTTAAAGGACAGGCTCCTGCCAAATGTAATTCCCAGATACTTCAGTTTGCTTTCTCTTAGTTGATGTTTCTACCATCTATCGTGAGACTCAGGACATTAGCTCTAACGACCCTGTTGTCTAGAGAACACCACAAAACAGACGCCTTTTCCGGGTGGACGACAGCCTTCATTTCTGTACACCACTTTGTCTACTGTCTCTTATAGCTTCCAGGCTGTTTGTTCCTTCTCTTCCTCCTGCCTATATGCAAGTATATCAACTACAAAAGTCAGCATCCTTCCAACTCCTGGTGCTTCTAGGCTTGCAATCTTGCTCGTATAAATGTTAAAGAGCACAGGCAAGATGGCAGATCCCTGTGGCAGATCTGGGGCCAAAATGCATGGTCGAGATCCATGAGCCTAGTCGTACAGCATTTCTGGAACTCCTCTCCTTGGAAGGAGTTCATTTCCGATGGAAACCGATTGTGACATATTTGACATTATAAACTGGATTTAATATCTTACCAATTAAAAAAAATTGCAATTATACACTCTCTCTAATAACTTTTACACTTTCTGTTAGTAGTACATATACAGTGGTGTAACACTTTAACAAATACCAGTCGACTTTAAATCGCTGGGAGGTGCTCAATAAATTAAACTAAGTCGTTACCTACTAACTTGGGGTAAAAAAAAAAGTAAAGTAAAGTAAAGATCCCTTTTCACGCCTTGCGGCGCATCGGGAATATGGACAGAGCGTCCCATATTTTTACAGACCATCAGCACTCGGTGGGTAATGTGGTCAGCATTACGCCGGCTGTCTTTACTTTCCCAGGACAGCCCATCCTGGTACCCATTTTAGGCTGGGTCGACCTGCGACGTCCCATACCACGACACAAATCCACGCAGCCTGCAGTGGGTTTCGATATGCTGGCTTACGAGTCGGACTCGCAACGCCTTAGCCACGGACGCCGCGCACTTGGGTACTATTAGTTATCAATCAAACTATCACCACAGTCTGGTGAGATTGATGCAGCGGGGAGTGACGAGAGGTTCTGGCAGATGCTCGAGGCTCAGAGGAAAGGCAAGACGGAAGTTTAATCAGAATCCTACTGGCACCATTAGTATCGAAACTCTTCGCTGGCTGCTGAAGATTGGGACGGAGCGCTTATGGTAATGCACCAGGTGCTGTGATGTCGGTTCTTGAATCAAATCAAATAAAATCACTATCAAAATAATTAAAATTTAATCCACTAGTCAAAATTATTACCCTTACTTTTCTTTAATTATGTACCTATTTGAATTTCAACCCGAAACCAAACATTTAATATTACAATTGTTAATTAATAATTACTATATCAACAATTTTCCTCTTTGATCGAGAAATGATTATCCAAAATGATGAAAACAAATTCAAAAACTCTTTAATCTGTTAACTTTGGGTTAAATAATTCTCAAGAATATTCCCAAAAATTTCAATAATTTGAGAAGCACCTCTGTACTGATCTTAGAAAGATAGGGTTATTATTTCACAATGTTGTTTACACAATTTAATGTTATTTTCAATACCTTTTTTTTCAGGGGGAAAAAAAAATGCCGTTGACAAGTGTGTACCACATGGGAAAGATAATTAAAATCTTTACTAGACATAACCAGTACCAAAATATTTCAGTGTGTGCTTTTTGTCGCACAGTTGACAAACAATTACGATAGTCAAAAAGTAATGTCAGTGCCTAACATGTTTTCACCGTGTAGTGCTTGTCATTTTGAGGCATGATTGACTAGGAATAAATCTTGTGCAATATATCCTTGTCATTGAGAGTTAGAAAAAGAATTCTTGCTTGCTACATACATCCAGTTTTAACATATGGCTGTGAATCCTGGACAATCGGTAGGCAGGCCAAACAATTTCCTGAGGCCTCTGAGATGTGGTTTTACAGAAGAATGCTTAGAATACCTTGGAGAGCCAAAAAGAGCAACCAAGAGGTTTTGAAAGAGGCGGGAGCCCGAAGACAACTTATCACAGACATCAGAAGGAGACAGTCATCATTTTTGGGCCATGTTATGAGAAGGGGGAAAATATAACATTTTGTGACCACTGGAAAGATCTGAAGAAGGAGGGATAGAGGAAGACAACGAAAGAAGATTCTTGACAGTCGTGTTGCATGGCATGGAGGTGTGTCTGCACACGAACTGATACATGATCGCCCACGCCAGTCGGCAAGGCACCTGATGATGATGATGAGTGCTTGTCATATCATTCCCTTTATTGTCATTGCTTTGGTGTACTTAGAAAATAATCATTGACTTTTTGCTACTTGTTAAAACAGTCATCCTAGATACCAGCCGGTAGTCCACTGAAACATTGTTTTTCGTGTTTCTGAAAAAAAATATCTACCAGCAATCTATTTATTCACAATATTATTTTCAAATTTCAATTCAAACAATTCAATATTTTCAATGAAAAATAGTTTGCACTACTTATGATAATATAACCCCATTTGTAATTCAGTTGTTAAATTTAGGTATCACAAAAAAATACAATTAATATAACGAATGTTTCCAAATTAATTTCTAGCTTATCTTAAGATGATGATTATAATGAATCTCAATTCCTAAACAGATACTTTAATATGTATTTAAAAAAAAAAGTATAATCCACTTTATCAATCAATTAGCTGTATAATAATAATAATAATAATAATAATAATAATAATAATAATAATAATAATAATAATAATAATAATAATAATAATAATAATAATAACACTAAGGTTAGTCAGCTCTGTGGCTAAGTCGATGCGAACGCTTCGTAATGCAGGTATGCACGGTTCTATACCAGCTGCGGGCCATCCGCCTTGCGTTGGTTTCGACAGTGGTATCAAGAAAGCCGACGGTCCAGGGGCAATGGCAAACTACTGGTCGTAAATTGCCTAGAAAAATCACATAAAAGCCAGGGGCTGTTGGGGTTGGTTTTGCAACGTCCTGTAAAGGATACGCAACAACCATTAAGGTTAATTTTTTGAGTGGTTCAACAATGACAGTGTGTTAATTCAATTTAGGTAGCCACATTGCATACACTGACTATTTAAAATGATAAGGGTAAACTTCACTTTATAATTCTTGAACTAATTCATACAACCATCAGTTCATAAATATATGTATCAATGCAATACATATATATAGTAAACAATTAATATCGGTTACGGTTACTATTGGTAATAATATTTTAGTAACTCAGTAATGAAAACATCTGAAACCTCGAATTAAAGCGAACGTGGCGAAAGCTTTCTATGGTAAAATAGACATGCAATCGAACCGAGTTGATGTATATTGTAAGACTAATTCAAGCGGGGTGGGGCGTGGGGTGGGGGGAGGGGATGAGTAGAGAGAGGTTCTTGAAGTAATTCCACACTGAAAAGGGAGGAGGATGAGTAGAGAAAAATTCTTGAAGTTACTCAACACTGTAAAGGGAGGTAAATGAGTAGAGAGAGGTTCTTGAGGTTACTCAACACTGAAAAGGGAGGGGAATGAGTAGAGTGAGGTTCTTGAAGCTACTCAACTCTTAAAAGGGAGGGGGATGAAGAGAGAGAGAGAGAGGTTCTTGAAGTTACTCAACACTGAAAAGTCTGTCTGTCTGTCTGTGTGTCTGTGTGCCTGTCTGTCTGTCTGTCTGTCTGTCTGTCTGTCTGTCTGTCTGTCTGTCTGTCTGTCTGTCTGTCTGTCTGTCTGTCTGTCTGTCTGTCTGTCTGTCTGTCTGTCTGTCTGTCTGTGTGTGTGTCTGTCTGTCTGTGTGTCTGTCTGTCTGTCTGTCTGTCTGTCTGTCTGTCTGTCTGTCTGTCTGTCTGTCTGTCTGTCTGTCTGTCTGTCTGTCTGTCTGTCTGTCTGTCTGTCCGTCCGTCCGTCCGTCCGTCGGTCCGTCCGTCCGTCCGTCCGTCCATCCATTCATCCATCCATCGGAATAGGTTCGCTGCGGGATGTGATTCGCTGCGGGATGTGATATCTGCCTATTTATGACGCTGTCGGTTATATGTATCTCAACACACATGCTAATCGGTTAAATAGTACATTCATTTTGAAAAGTTTACCAAAAAAAAAAAACAAAAAAACATGTTTAATTCAAATATTTAATACACTCTCTCTAATGGTGCTCTTTTGTCTTTTTCAGTATACAATGAGAAACAACATTTACCGACACTTCAAAAAGCTTATTATTCTGCTTGGTCTCTGGATCTTTTACGCCGTACACAAAATTGTATCATACAACACGGAAAGTAATAAATTCGAGCTGCTGCCAAATATAGACAAACAATATCTCATAGACATAGATTCACAGGGACTCCTTCCAGATTCGGCTAACTTGCTTCAAAAGTTAAATAATTCCAAAAGAGATTTACTACAGAAAGATTCATTTAGAGATATCATTAACGACACCGAAAGAAAAATAGAACAGGAAGAGAGAAGAAGCCATCCCCAACTTGATAAACTTGCGAAGATAGGAGGGATTGTGATACAAAAGAAACCGGAGCAGGTGTTGGCGAACGTTACTCTACCCTTGTTCAATAACAAAACGGATGGTTCGGGACCAGGTCAGCTAGTTTTAACTATTTGAAAATCAGTTAGGAGTTAGTGTTGCACATTGTGTCACAAAATTAGATGGATTCTGTAGGCGTGTATAAATGTATTTGTACATGTGCTCGCATCTGACAATGTGTAAGCCAGTGTATTAAATAAAAGTCTAACCCTCTACGGACAAAACGCATGAAGGCATGGGAAAGGGTCCTCAACTTTACGTATCATTAGACCCTTTTGCGCTCTTTATATCAGTTCCCTGAATTTATTTTGTTTAAACCCTACCAGTGGAGTCTTTCTTAATTTACAGTTTGCATATACTTATTTCCTGTAGTCATAAGTGCCGGTGGTCGTAAGTCGAGGAGAAGAGTATTGTATAATTTAATGCTCAGTCCGTGGGTGTTATGGTGAGTATCACAACGGTTTTCTTTACTTTCGATTTACTGGTAGCAACTTTGGCTTTGTTCACATGGTAACCCAGGTTGCTAATTTTAAGATCCGGTGTGATGGCAAAAGATTGCAAGTGTATAACCAGCAAATATAGTACATTTCAACATAAATTCTTGTGACTCAGTTTGCAATTCTTGGTTAGGTTAAGCAGCGACTGTACTAACCATGCAGTCCTAACTCTTCTGTCTTAAAGACCTCTGGCCTACATCGCAAAATTAGTAAACACAGGCAGTAATCCAGCTACGGTGCTCGTGCTTTGTGCCACGCTCTTTGACATGTGGCTAGACATTCTGAAGAGAGAGAGAGAGAGAGAGAGAGAGAGAGAGAGAGAGAGAGAGAGAGAGAGAGAGAGAGAGAGAGAGAAAGGAAGGGAGGGAGAGAGAGACTTGTGGAATAAAACGCGGTACAATGAAGTCGATTCTCTCTACTTTAACCTTTAACCTTCAATTTTTGATTTATGGCGCTCAGTTTGCTGCCGCAGCGACGATATCTCTCTCAGCATAACCTCAGTACCCGTTGCAATGACTATAACGCAGCAGAAAAAGTCCGAAACCTGGGAGTCATGACCCAGGTTGCCCCTCAACCCCCGAGATTGTCTAGGGAGATAAAACGGGCCTAAACATTTGTTGAAAGGGGCACCCTTACAAAAGATTGGGTAACTCCTGCTGTGCATGCTCCCACTTTGAAGTTCTATTTATATTTACCAATGTGTATCATTCCTTTATGTTGTACAATTTTCTGCTTTTCCGACAGAAAGTGTGAGCTAAATAATTTCTGTGTGTTGTATTCTTCCTAATTCATTGTTGGGTAAATGTAACGCAAATCTCCCCCAAAACAGTGTTAGGCACCGCCTAGATACACACAAGGTCACTTCTGATTAGTAGTTCATAAGCCTCGTCACCTTCGCAAAACGTTACGGGGGTGTTCCGCGATACCTTCGATATCGCATGATGTATATTTCAGCGCGCCAGCGCTTTTATCGCTCCAAACTCAGTTATTCTGATGAAGAATAATCAGAAGAACAACGTGTCCGAGTCTTTACAGATGGGTCAGCACAAAGTGAGTTAGGTTTGGTGGTGATGGAGTGTACATATAATTCCCAGATGGTACTAGGGATAAGTCCAGCGCACCAACCGGGAAGTACTGCCATAACCATGATGCAGAAACTCAGGACATCAAGATTGCAACAGAGAAACTGCCAAACAGCAATCTTGGCTCACAGTATGTGGTAATGCTGACAGATGCAAAATCTGTACTTGAAGCACTCCAGTCTAGGAAACTACCAGAGTTGCAAACACTGTTGACACAACTCAGCCCTCAGCAAAGAGCCGTAATGCAGTGGATACCGTCTCATTGTTGAGTGCCTGGAAATGAGAAAGCTGATCAACTAGCAGGGGCTGTTGCGTTAAAAGTGCAGCCGGATGTACCAGTAACATACTACAAAAAGAAAAAAAATAATTAAATCTACCAGGAAACCACCAGCCCCAGCACAAGACGACTATTTTATTATGGACAGAGCAGAACAAGTCATTATCCTCCGCCTCAGAACAGGGCACAACCTATTACGTAACCACATGTACACAAAATTCAAGACAGGCGTATCAGCCATGTGCACCTGTGAAAAGGTGACCCAAAAAGCAGAGCATGTACTCCAGGACTGCACCGAATTTGACACATTAAGGCAAACCTTTTGGCCAGAAAGAAAAACAATGGAACGTAAACTCTATGGACCACTGAATGAACTAACAACGACAGTGTAATTTATGCAAGAGACAAAATTGCTAATATTGACAAGTTATTTCAGGTGAACGAAAGAAGAAGAAGAAGAAGAAGAAGAAGAAGAAGAAGAAGAAGAAGAAGAAGAAGAAGAAGAAGAAGAAGAAGAAGAAGAAGAAGAAGAAGAAGAAGAAGAAGAAGAAGAAGAAGAAGAAGAAGAAGAAGAAGAAGAAGAAGAAAGAGAACGCTCCAAAAACATTGAGCACTGGCCCTAACACAATTCCCCTACGAGAGTGCTACAACCTGTCACAGGCATTCTCTTTCTCGGAGTGAAAAAGTAAATGGAAGATAACATAGATAGCCACATTATGTATTATAATAGGGCAAAGCATTGAACTAAACTCACCACTTTACATTGGATTTATAGACTATGATAAAGCATTTGACATCATTGATAGGGAATCTCTCTGGAAATTGATAGGGCACTATGGAATTCCACAGAAAATTATTAACTTAGTAAAGGCAACATATAAAGACATGAAATGTCGAGTTCTTTATGAGGGAAAACTAACAGATACATTTAAAATAAAAACAGGTGTGCTACCGGGATGTCTTTTGTCACCTCTTTTATTTTTACTGGCTATTGACTTGATAATAAAAACAGTAACTGCTAACACCAAGAATAAAATTCAGTGGACCCCTACAAAACAGCTTGATTATCTGGTCTTCGCTGATGATATTTCTTTTCTGTCCCATTCACGGAATCAGATGCAAGTTAAATTAAATATACTTGATGCGAGATCACAGCAGCTTGGTCTAAAAATCCACAATGGAAAGACAAAGATAATTAGAAAAAATCAGGCAAATAGTAATGTGGTTTTTCTTAACGGCAACCCACTACGATAGGTGGAGCCGTTCACCTATTTGGGCAGTAATGTAGATAAAAATGGAGGAACTGATAGAAATATTAAAATAAGAATACAAAACGCAAGAGGAGCTATCATAGCACTAGGGAATTTGTGGAGGTCAAAAGAAATTTAAAGAAATACTAAACTAAAATTTTTAAATTCTAATGTCAAATCAGTACTTTTGTATAGGGCGGAAACAGGGAGAACAACTAAGGCAATTACAATTACTAATAAATTACAGACATTCATTAACTGGTGCCTGCGCAGAACAGAGGGGATTAAAAGGTATGATAGAATAACTAATATAGAGCTTTGGGAGAGAACTAAACAGGCTCAGAGAGGTGAGGAAAAGACGCTGGCGTTGAATGGGACACGCACTGAGAAAACAGGAGAACAGCATACCTAGAATGTCTTTGCATTGGAACCCACAGGGGCATAGGAATAAAGAAGGGCCAAAAAACACATGGAGAAAAAAGCTCGAGAATGAAGTTAGAAAGATGGGGAGGACATGGGGAGAGCTTCATGCAATGGCGAAGAATAAAACGACTTGGCGTGAATTGGTTGGGGGCCTATGCTCCATTGGGGGATAGAAAGGCAGAAGAAGAACACAGAAAGCAAACAATAGAGCAGGACACGCCCGTAAGCTTCAGGAAAGTCAAGCAGCCTAACAAACTGTGAATGAAAAGTGACCTAGTGTGTAAATGGTCAGTGCTAGCTCTAATTGGGAAGATTTGGGTAATGTTCACCCATTGTTGCATTGTAAATGTACTGTAAATGATACAGGAGAGTTGGGTCACCCGGTGAAAATCGATGTCAACAAACTATCGAAAGAAGAGAAACTCAGATATAATACAGGCTGGGGATCACACAGCTTTAATCAATATGCAAGCGACTTGATATCGATCCACCGGAGACTCATTGATGGAAGAAGTCAAGCGTGAGTAGTGCATTTTTTATTTTACTTTAGATTTTTTCTTCTCTTTTTTTTTTTTTTTAAAATATTATTACTTTATTCTATCTCATATCAGTATCATTTATATATCATTAAAATTTGTATTTTTTAAAATTCTGACTATTATATTATATATTAACAATATGACTTTATTTTTGGCGACTAGATTTTTTATAGCCATCTTTTATTTTATTTTATTTTATTTACTACACATCACATTTGTTCAAAAGGTTGCTCTTGTCACCCATAAGAGATCTGAATACTCTCCTCTTTGTTACCTTTGTGTATTTCACTTCATGTTTGACAAAGGCGGCCGGCCGAAACGTTATTAGTGTTGTTTTGGGCATGTTTTTCTGCTTCCCTATTTTGTTAAGCTTTTTAGTCACTTTTCCCCGCTCTACCATTGACGTGTATTAAGTGTTATAGACTACTGTCTGGGCCTCCTCGCTGTCAGCAGAACCCAGCTAGAAAGACTGGACCGGGTACAAATGTAAGGCCATAAGACTCATACTCGGCTGTACAAAAGGCGTCTCGTGCCGCGTCATGGGGTACGTCTTGGGTTTACCGACGATGGTCACCAGACAAAGAGGAACAGCTGAAATCGTACGTAAGGATATCAGCAGACATCAACACCCCCCCCCCCCCCTTTTCCCACTGCACATTTTCAATGATTTAAAAAGTGATGCGTCTCAAAAAAGACTCCTCTTGGATAGCTAAGACAGAACATCTAATCAAGCACGTATGTGCCCTAGACGAGATCAGTCAGGGAAAAGAATCGACGGGTACACCAGTAGAGATGCACGACTTGTCTAAGATTGTCGTAACACTGGGGTGGTACTGCAGGAGTCAGATAACTGCCACAGTTGACGCCGAGATTAGGACGCTGGTTGGTCAGCATTCATGTCCAGAAAACATCGTCATTTACACAGATGGGTCAGTGAAGAACGGATCAAGATCGGCATGGGCATTCACAGCACAAAAGATAGGGAAAAACAATAAAAGAGGATAACGGTGCTTACCAGACAACTACATCAAGCATGACCATAGAGGTAATTGCTACTTCTTGAGCACTCGCATAGGTAGTAGAACAAGCGACCAGACATGCGGTAATCGTTTCAGTCTCAATAAACATGCTTCAGAAAATCGCTACAGGGAGTCTATGCTCCGAAAGGGTAGAAAGCATTCGGAAGTCGCAGTTAACCTCCATCATCTGGACCTACACCCCAGGGCACGCAGGAGTAAATGGTAATGAAAGCTGACTAGCCGGCAAGTAATGCACTAATGCACATGGGAAAAAGCATTGACAGAGCTGATATCATCAACGCTGTACAGTCTAGTTTGGGGTATAACGGCGAATCTCTGACGCTAATACTGCGAGACCGAGGAGTTTAGCCTAATGAGGCATATCTATATCGTCTTCGAGGGAAATACAGGAGATATAACCAACTCTGCGTGGGAACGATCAGTAGAGTTATTTGGAGTGGCTGCTGCATCGGAGGACTGAGCGTGCATGGGAAAGCCCGATGTGCAAAGATATCGATTGTGAAAACATATGATTACATAACAACAACAACAGCTACTACTACTACTACTACTACTACTACTACTACTACTACTACTACTACTACTACTACTACTACTACTACTACTACTACTACTACTACTACTACTACTACTACTACTACTACTACTACTATTACTACTACTATGACTACTGCTGCTGCTACTACTGCTGCTGCTGCTGTGCTGCTGTGCTGCTACTACTTCTACTACTACTGCACTACTACTAGTACTGCTGCTTTCACTACTATTACTGCTACTACAACTGACTACAACTACTATTCTACTACTGCTACTATACTACTACTGCTACTATACTACTACTGCTACTATACTACTACTACTGCTGCTGCTACTACTACTGCTACTACTACTACTATCACTACTACTACTTATACTACCACTACTACTACTACCGCCACCACCACCACCACCACTACTACTACTACTACTACAACAACTACTACTACTACTACTACTACTACTACTACCACCACCACCACCTCCACAACTATCACAACCACCATTACTACTACTACTGCTAATACTACACCTACTGCTACTACTATAGCCACTACTACTGCTGCTGCTGCTACTACCACTACTACTATAATATTACTACTACTACACTACTATTGCTACTACTACTTTGCCATTACTGTACAACTACAGATCTACTAGTACACTGATGGGCCGCCAACTAGAATGATAATGAGGCCCGGCGATGCAGAAACGGCTATTGACCTGGCTCAGGTTACCCAGTCAGCAGTACTGGACACCAAATGGACTGTCCTGGGCGAGGATGGAAATGACTGTTTGCCATGTTTGGTATTGATTTTCAAATCCAGGAAAGTCAAGGCTTCAAGAACTTTGAGGCCTTTGAAGTATAAGCGGAATAACACCCTTCTTGGACTCCTCTGACAGAGGGCATGTAAGAGGGCAGGTAGATCTATTTTTGTGGAGTCTCCATGGTGGACATCAGAGGTTGAACAGGCATGGAAGTTAAAGAGAGCTGCAGTAAAGCGTTTAAAGAAAGTGCTACAGACCGCTCTAAGCTCACAGGAGGAGTGCACGAAAAGAGATAAAAAGATTGGAGTTTTTCAAGCGCTGTGCTTCAGAAAAAAAAAAAAAAAAAGCAAAATGGGAGCATTCTATTGATGAGATTGGGAACGTTTTGGAGGCTACATAGGCAGACGCTCAAGAAAGATCGGCCTAGCATAGTAGGAGCAATTCATAGAGATGACGGTACAGACAAATTGAAGAGGGAGGCTTTCCTGAAGAGGTTCATTTCACAGACAGACCACAATGATGGAGATAACAGAGGTTGAGTTAGAGAAAATCTGGCAGTCATCTTAAATAACAAACCTTATGAAGATATCATACAGGTGGAAGATGTAAAACGTGTTTTGAAATAGGCGAAAGACACTGCGCCAGGGCCAGACAGGGTTAGATATTTCCACATGAAAGATATGAGTGATCCAAACCTGTTGGCGATGACTGCTTGCTTCAACCAGAGCATTAGGACAGCTTCAGTCCCAGAAGACTGGATGCACAGATACTTGATTCCACTTCCTAAGCCTGGCAAGAATCATTCAACACTCGGGAGCTTTAATAACACTACAAAACACCTTTGGTTCCCGGGCATTTCCCCTAGGGGCTCAATTTTCCCCCCCAGTAGAAATCAACGTCCCATGGTAAAAGTAAACCCTTCTATGTTGATTTAAAAAGTCTTTGGCGTAGCTGGTTTTGCGTCTGTTTTTTCGTGCCGGGTCCTTTAATTTCCCCCAAATCTGGGCCAAATTTTGGGGAAAAGGTGTGGGTTTTACTGACACCAAATCGTTTATCCTTCCCCCTTTCCCGAGGACATTGTAATTTTCCAGGGTCCATAGGCGACCGTGGTAGTGATTTGCGGGTTTAGCCAAACCCGTCGCTCTTTCATTTTCCCTCGACGCCTTTCTTTCCCGGGAAAAAAAAAAGGTGCTCCCGGGCAAATGGGTTCTGTAATGGGTTCAAGCCCCTTTTTTTCGGGACTGAACCTGCCTGAACCCTCCCCAAAATTTATTGGGAAACCTGGTATACACACCGGGGTGTATTTTTTTTTTCAAGCCCGGGAAACGTTGTGTTTAATGCCATAC